CTATATTTTGAGGGACGCCTATATGTTCCAAAAGGTAAAACTCGATTACGTGTTCTTCAAGCTCGTCATGACTTTCTAGGAACAGGACATTTTGGGTACAATAAAACTTTGGAACTAATATCTAGGAACTTTTAGAGGTCCCTAATGTGGAAAGCAGTTAAAGATTTTATACAATCTTGTGATATTTGTTTGAAATCCAAAACTTCTCATCATCGACTTATTGGACTTCTTTAGCCATTATCCACTCTAGAACAACCATGGTCTTCTATTTCTATGGATTTCATCACGAATCTTACAATCTCAGGTTCTTATGACTCTATAATCATGATAATAGATCGTTTTACTAAGATGGCATATTTTGTACCATGTACAAAATCTATCACATGGAAAGAAACAGCTAAGCTTTTTCTTGACAATATCTATCACTATCATGGATAATCCAAGGATATTATATCAGATAGGGGAACTCAATTTGTATCAAGATTTTGGCGGACTCTTTTCAAGATTCTAAAAGTAGATATAAAACTATCTTTGGCATTCCATCCTCAAATTGATGGACAAATGGAGTGTATTAATCAAGTTTTGGAGCAATATTTAAAATGTACCATCAACTACCAACAAGATGATTGGATAATTTTTTTGCCATTGGCAGAGTTTGCTTATAATAACACAGTACATTCTTTTACAAAATAAACACCTCTCTTTGCTAATTATGCTAATCATCCATGACTTGATACTTTTGACTTTTCAAAAGTTGATAATCCTGCTGCGAAAGATTTGGCAATTCATTTATCAAAGCTACATGCAACGATGAAGGCGTAATTAAAAGAAGCTCAAGAACAACAAAAGGTCAATGCGGATGTCTATCGAAAGGAGCAACCACCATTCCACATAGGTGATAAGGTATGGTTACTTCATCGCAATATCAAGACCACTCATCATTATGACACGTTGGACTATCGAAGGCTTGGACCATTGTCTATTTCTGTACAAATCAATCCTGTTGCATATTGTTTACATCTACAAGAGTCAATGAAAATACATCTAGTATTCTACATGTCTCTTCTTGAACCATATAAGACAGTGGACATATAAAGAATAAGACAAGCTCCACCTCCTCTTATAGAAGTGGACAATAATGAAGAGTTTGAAGTGGAAGAAGTCTTAGATTCAAGGCAGCGTCGAAATAAATTGGAATATCATGTCCATTGGCATAGATATGATATTAGTACACGCACATGGGAGCCGATAAAGAATCTCACAAATGCAATAAAGGCGGTGGAGGCTTTTCATTGATGACATCCATCAAAATTAAGATGAAAATCTTCTTTATAAAAGAAACAAGATCTAGGTAAGATAACATTCTACTTTCAATCCTTGTTTGTAGCTTCTTTGTAGTTGTGATGTTCATGAGATAGAGAAGCAAAAACCAACGGATTCGACTCAAGAGCCTTTATTTGCTAGCTTGTCAAATGAGACATTACGATTGTCACAACCTTCAAGACTACACAATCAAGATGAAGATCTTCAAGAATGACATGTTCTTCCTCGAATAGATGGTGAAATACAACGTGTTAGGTATCACGATCTTGGAAGGGACTCTCGATGTTTAGTGATTTTATTAGAGGTAGGAACAACTCCTAATGGTATTCCACATATTTTATTCGAAAGAAGTTATGAAGGCCTCCATAATGATTAAATAATTGGATGGTCTTCCTACCCTAGTATGGGATACTACCGATGGTTGAAAGGCCCTATCAATCATCTTTGAAGAGAACAAAGTTCAGAGTATGTGGCGAACACAATTCGTCGCATCATAGATTTCTTCAACATATGATTATCGCTCCTCATGGAACTCGTTCCTATAAGAAGGGGTAATGTCATGGACATATACATGTAAGCCAATAATTACATATATAAATAGATAGAAGTAAGTAAAAGTAAGTAAAAATAAGTTAATTCTTTAGTATTTGATATAGAAGCTTCTTAGAAGCTTCATAGATGGTACTTTGACTTTATATGTGTCTTTAATTGACTTTTTGGAATTAGAAACATGGTTAACAAGTTATCCATGAGTCACACATGTTGTTAGCTTGAAGACCAAGCTAACTATGTATCCCACACATAAAAAAACTTGCCTTATAAGTCAAAGCATGTGTCCTACAAAGTCAACATATATTGGAGGTCCTATAGAACGTCACGACATAGCCCCTAGTTAGATAGTATATATAGAGACAAGAGTGAAGCCTTCTTCACTCTTGTCAACTCTTTTCTTGCTTCCAATCTACTTTCAAAGGTCTCTAGTTTTCTTGACTTTTGGCAATAGCCATTCTAGTTTCTTTCTTAATATATATATCAAGTTATTTCTATTTTATCATCTTTCTATGAGAGAAGTCTCACTTGTTTATTTTTCTTTATCATGTTCTTGTCCTTGACAGCATCTCATAAATAGTAGAATTTTTCTCTACCAACTAACATATAATAGACAAATCTTACAAAGATTCAATATGATTGATGCTTATCTATTGTCAATACCAATGGTTGAACATGGTTGTAATGGTTATGATCCATACTGTTTGTACGAGGAGGATGAAGAAATACTAAGAGATCAATATTCATACCTTACAACAATTGGAGCACTTTTATATTTAGCCACATTTACAAGATTGGATATTATATTTGTAGTTAGTGATTTTGTAAGACATAGTATATATCTAATACTACAATATTAGAATAGCATCAAATATTTATTACGTTATTCAAAAAGAACTAAAGATTTGAGATTATACTACACACAATCTAGAAATCCAAAATTGATTGGATATTGTGATGTAGGATATAAATTTGACAATGCAACAAATAAATCTTAAATAGCCTATGTATTCTTAAGACATGGAGCTGCAATATCATAGAAATCAGTGAAACAAACTATAATTGCAACTTCATTCAACCATGCAAAAATTATTGCCTTACATGAAGCATCTTGGGAATGAATTTGATTGCAATCAATTGATAAACTCATTCAAATAACCTGTGGACTTTTGTATGATGATTCTCCAATGATCTTGTATAAAGATAATAGTACTTGTGTTGCACAGATGCAAGTTGGTTCTATTAGTGGCGACAAAATAAAGCATATTGATCTAAAGTATTTTAGTTATATTCATGACTTGGTTATTGATCAGGTACTTAAGATCAAGAAAACATGAATCTGCAAATAACCTTGGTAATTTCTTCACCAAAGCTTTCCTTTTGTGCCACCATTGCCGACTTACTTATGGCATTGACATGGAGCAACTTGCTTTTTTTGAGCAAGAAAGTTAATGAACTCTTAAAATAATATTTTACTCTTTTTCTTTCATCTATAGTTTTGTCTTTGAATATAATAAGATTTTTTTAGATAAGATTTTAATGAGGCAGTAGTTGTTGATTTTTTGAGATTATAAAAAAATATAGATCATAATTCTATGCATATTTTATATTATATAAATGTTATAATGAGCAAGAAGGAGTGTTGAGAGCATTAAATGTAGCCAACACTATCTATAATATTTACTGTAGTTCACAATAAATATTATAACTATAGTGTTTGGAACGTAGTGAGGAGAAATGGTTTATCTTCTCTCTTTTTGTTTGTATATGTGAGATAACTATATCAATATACTTCTTCTTATATGTGTGTGCGTGTTTTTATATATATTACTTCATTTATGTCTCTCTAAACATTCTCAACACAAACAATGAATTGAAAAGTCACTCATGTAAGTGAATATCTATATATGAATGAGATATTGCCAATACCACCATGGTTTTTGCTATTGCCACTATAAATTTTTATTTACCATGTGTTAAATATGTATATACCACCATAATTATACAAGGATTGTAAATATTTATTTCTTGTGTTATTCTACAAAAGCAGTCTATAGCAAATAGGTCTATTGATTATAGGTTATTGATTATATATAGAAGTCCATTACTCTGAACAAGTACTCCAAATTTCTCTTGAATGGACTCAAAGATGTGAATATAAATACAAACCATTCTTCATAAGAAAACATTCTTTGTAGAAAAAAGTGATGAATGTTTCACTCCACAAGTACACACATTCATAATTGGAACAATGGAATCAACCTCCAATGATTGAATGGGGACATACCCTACTTGCATTGTAGGAAATATAAGAAAAAAGAAAAAACACCCACAACCATCTCCATGTCTTTCTTATTGAAAAACAAAAGGACATTTATATTCTTTGAAAATATTTTTGTTTTGTTTTGTTTTGTTTTGTTTCTTTTAAAATTATTATTCTTTTTTGAAATAAGTGGCAGTGAAGATGATATTGTGTGCCAAAAATACAGGGTGATTTTTTTAAAAATCCAAAAAATTCAAACAAATTTGTGAGATGCACTGGGAAAAAAAACATAGCAAAGAATTAATGTATCAAAATAATAATAAAAATAACAAAAATTAAGTTTGGTGTGAAAGATGGTACCAAAGTAGGACAACAAGCAAATAAATAAATAAATATACATGACCCATTTTGTTTTCTTCTTCTTTTTCCCCCTAGCCAATTAGATTTTAATTCACAACATTCTTTAAAACCCCAAAACATTTATAAATACCAATTATCCAAAAATGGCAAACAAGTGGGCCACTCATAGAGCTATTGCACTTCCTGCTCCCAAAAACTCAAAAGAAGAAAGAAAAAGAAAAGGAAAAAGAAAAAATCGTCGAAGATGGAATTCCCTGCTCTCATATACTCACCATGCATTCTCGAAAAATTTTACCACGTGGAGGGCTCTCATTCGCTGGAAAACATTTCATAGTTTATTCTTCAACCCATTCTGAAGAACCCGAAACAATGAATGTTTTCATTCATCCTCATACCACATATACATCCACGTGGTTATCCGGACAGATATTCATTCATCCATCCATTTATTCCGGTTGTGGGGCAGGTGCTCCGAAGCCAATCCGTGGATGATAATGCCCTCTCTGCGGCTCCGTCTGCCACTTCTGGAAATCCCTCGTGCTTGCTTGCATTGCATTCTGCGCCACGGCCTTCGTTCTGCGCCAGAGATCGCCGTGTCCAAGCAAGGAATGCTTCGTTCCACTTCGCTTGCTCTAGTACTAATTCCCCACCCCGATTCATCCCCAATTCGGCGCTTTCCACTCGTCCAGGGTCGCATTCCCGACCGTTTTGTGAGACTTGGAGTTACTGAGCTGCGTCGCGGAGACTAAGGTCGGAGGGAGATGGCGGCCACATTGGCATCCACCGCCGCTGCTGTCACTTCGGCACGTCTTTCTAATGGAAGCACCACACCTCGTGGGGGTGGTTTTGCGAAGCGGGGGAGTGCCCTTGTAGGTTCCAACTCGTCGTCTTTGCGGGGAGCTAGACTGGCTGTCTCATCTTCTTACTCTAGTGCTAGTGCTCGTGCTCAGCGACCTCGGAAGGGTGTTGTCTCGCCTCGCAATGTGTCGGATTCGCCTGTCGTCGGGGAGGCATGCCTCGATCCGGATGCTAGCCGGGTATGGCCAAGCCACTGATGTCTTTTTCTTTGTTGGTGATCACTCGTGGCTTGCTTTTGTTTATTGTTTCTTATTGTATGGTCGCCATCCTCGACCCTAGTGGCCTATAAATTGGTCTTGGATGAATGACCTCGCGTGATTGTGATTGCGGATTCAGTCTCATCGGAGTAGCTGGAGTCGCGGTAAGCAGCTGCCCGCAGCTGTTGTACTAATTGTCTGGTCTTCTTATCTCGTGGAGGTGTACATTGGTACTTCTGTTTCTACAGAGTGTGCTCGGGATTATCCTCGGTGGAGGAGCGGGAAGCCGTTTGTACCCCTTGACGAAGAAGCGCGCGAAGCCGGCGGTGCCATTGGGTGCCAATTACCGGCTGATAGATATTCCCGTCAGCAATTGCATCAACAGTAACATCAACAAGATTTATGTGCTCACGCAGTTCAATTCCGCATCTTTGAACAGGCACTTGTCCCGAGCATACGCTAGTAACATGGGAGGGTACAAGAACGAGGGCTTCGTGGAAGTCTTGGCTGCTCAACAGAGCCCCGAAAACCCCAACTGGTTTCAGGTGTTGTACCTGATTCCTCTTCAAAGTTCGTGGATTTTCTCTATGTAGTTCATTTTACGCGCCAGATTTACACCACGTTCTACTTCTGATCTGCGCACGATTAGGTTGAGTTGAATTGCATTCAATTGAGATACGTTTTGGATGGATCTGCAATGTGAGAATGTAACGTCAAGACGTGCTTCAGAGGCTGTGCACTATATATTTATGAAGAGTTCGTTCTGTAAATTTGCGTGGTGCAGGGAACCGCTGATGCAGTGAGGCAATATCTCTGGCTCTTTGAGGAAGCCCAGGTGTTGGAATACGTAATTTTGGCAGGAGACCACTTGTACCGTATGGACTATCAGAAATTTATTCAAGTGCACCGTGAAACGAATGCTGATATCACTGTTGCTGCTTTGCCTATGGATGAAACTCGTGCCACCGCGTTTGGGTTGATGAAAATCAATGACCAGGGACGGATTATCGAGTTTGCGGAGAAACCCAAGGGCGACGAGCTCAGAGCTATGCAGGTAGTATTGAACGCTGGAATCATTAGAATTGGTTGGATCGTTCTCTCTCTTTGTGAACTATATTGTCTTAATTTAATCGGAGAGGAATAAGTGGCGGTAGTATAGTGTAGACGGAATCGGCGGTGAGCTAATTTACTTCTGTTGAAGGAATTACGTGAGAACCATTAGTTAGTATACAGTGACATATTTTCTGATGTTTGGTGATTCAGGTGGACACAACTGTCTTAGGTCTAGATGCCGCTAGAGCCAAAGAAATGCCTTACATCGCGAGTATGGGTATTTACGTCGTCAGCAAGGAGGCTATGATCTCTCTGCTTCGTAACGACTTCCCCGAGGCAAACGATTTTGGAAGTGAGGTCATTCCTGGTGCTACAGAGATGGGCATGAAGGTATGAATTCGTTTCTACGCCTTTCCTCTTGAACTAGAATGTTGACTTCTATCGAGTTTTAGATCTTTGTTAGAGATTCTCAGCTTTTTGAGATAAATATTCAGGCAAGGCTAGCCTTTCAAGGTGTCTCAACTAGTTGAGCTTTTTTCGCTTTGCAAAAGTGATCTCTTCTGACTAGATGTGTAGTAATTGCATAATGTAAATTTTGACAATGAGGTTTGGAAGGTATTGAAAACTTTCGTAAGGTCCACTCCCGAAAATGTGACCGTCATTGGCAATGGCCAGTACTTTTCCTAGAGATATTTGATTCTAAATCGTATTCCAGGTTCAAGCCTACTTGTATGACGGCTACTGGGAAGATATTGGAACTATCGAAGCCTTCTACAATGCAAACTTAGGCATCACGAAGAAGCCTGTTCCTGACTTCAGGTGAGCACTCGGTAGAATGATGAATGTAAGACAAATATACAGCTAGGGCAACGCTTCTTATATTCCCTCTCTAGGAACCGCTTATATGATTACTCATTCTCAATCTCATGCGATGTTAACTAGTTGTTTGCTGGCTAGCCGATCTAGAGATGTTGTTTGTGCAGTTCAAAGGCATGAGCTAGGGGTACTATATCGGAGCGATGGCGTTATTTTTAACGTATCCGTTTTACTTCTACAGTTTCTACGATAGGTCTGCCCCCATATATACACAAGCTCGCTTCCTTCCTCCTTCAAAGATGTTGGATGCTGACGTAACGGACAGTGTGATCGGAGAGGGTTGTGTCATCAAGGTAAGTACCCCGGAGATGTCTGACTTGGCCTGAGACGGAATTGTCATTCGATTCCTTCTACGTTGAAGTCCTCAGTACCATTCACACTTTTCCATAAGGATTGACTGTGTCTTTACATAGATGGCGCTCGACGTAAGTTGTGACCCTGTGATTGTGAGATTTCACCAAGCTGATCTAGAAGCACCATCTTAGTCACCAATCATTTCATGGTACATGCAGAATGCCAGAATCTACCATTCAGTGGTTGGATTGCGGTCTTGGGTCGCAGAAGGCGCTGTCATCGAAGACGCACTTCTCATGGGTGCTGATTACTACGAGGTTCGATTACTCGCCTCTACCTCTAGACGCATGAAGTGGATAAATTCCTTTCTGTAGTTTGTTAGTGCTTGGCTTGTTTTCTAGACAGCTTACCAAACGACCATAGGAGCAAAACGATTCCTAACCCAAGTGGAGTTGAAGAAACTTCTGCTGCTTGCCAATCACCTGTTGACACTGACATGATAATCGTTGATGTGTTGTAGACCGACGACCAAAGAAACGAGCTGTTAGCTACGGGTGGCATTCCCATGGGCATTGGCAAAAACTCAGTAATCAAGAGAGCGATTGTTGACAAAAACGCACGAATTGGAGAGAACGTCCAGGTCTGTATAGCATGCATTCTTGAAAATCTCTGGTTATGGTCTTTGTGAAGAATACGTCTCTCCCTTACGACTCCGTATTACACATGCACGACTATTGGTTTCAGTTGGGCAACGTAACAAGTAAGGGGGGGCGGGGGTGGCATGTGCAGATTGTGAACAAGGACGGTGTGCAGGAGGCAGCCCGGGAGACAGATGGTTACTTCATCAAGAGCGGAATAGTCACAATTATCAAGGACGCGATCATCCCTCACGGAACAATCATCTAAGCTCTCACCGCCTTTCTCTGTGACAATGCCCCCAAAGCGTGATCGAGAAAGGATCTTCCTGCAGGTTGTGGGTGGCAGTAACCTCTTCCCTCCATTCCTCTCGTCTTTTGATTTTTTTTTTTTTTCTCCATTTCTCTGCAGGCGGATGACTTGGAACTCGTGATCAACTTTCGCTTCCGGCGCAGATTTTTCTCGCTCGTCAGGTTTCAGTCATCCGCCCAGAACTAGGCAGCAGATGTGTGTGTGTAGGGTCTGAGCTGCAGTGAGAGCTACTTATCAATTTTGGTAGGACGACGTGTATACAAGTCCCTGGAGCGTTGTTGTTGTTTCAACTATGTATCGTAACCAGATCTCTATTGTATGATTAGTGAGCTTTAATCGAAATTTACGAGCGAACTCTATTCCCATGAATCAGAAGTTGTTTCCATTGCTGTTCTTCCACCCCAAAGTCTCACTGAAGTTCTACATTGAATTTTGCGTAGCTCTCTTTCCTACCAATAGGGTTCCGTGTCGAAAATCCGCATCATCTTGAAGTATGGAATTGAGCGCCGTCAAGTGGCCCTGAATCACGCTTCATTTGAGGGGACGAACTGTTTGAAAGCGTGCGGCGGACGTCCACAATCGCGGCACCAATGTGGCGCCGGAGACAAAAACAACTCTAAATTTTTTGTACCCTTTTCTGAAAAAGCTTAACAAGCGTTTCACCAAAGCTTTTCGGCAGAACTTTCTCTTTGGGTGCTTTTTTGGGGTAATTTCTTAATTTTTTTGTTTGATTTTTTGCAGTTGGTAGACTGGATTTAGTTGTTGATAGGTTTGATAGGTTTGTTACTAGATGTGACTGTTTTTTTGAGATTGAGTAATTTGGTTCTAGTTAAAGAATGAATTCTTGAGATGCATGTTTGTTTGTTTATTTTGTTTCTTGGTTGTGCGTTGGTATATGGTCTACAATACAAAATAAACTAAAATTTATTACGTAGTAAATTATTATTTGATTTTATAGGGATTTACTTATGTTTAAGTTCTAAAACCAAAGATATTAGTTTGGAATCATATTTAAATTCCAAAACCACAATAAAGATATTTATTAATTTTCTTTTTAGGGTTGAAATTAAATTTCTATAAAATATATATAAAATACTTGTTTAGATTGAATTCAAATTAAGATATTAATATTAATGTTTTAGTAACTAATAATTGATTTCTAATTTTTTTACCTGTGTTTTAAAATCTAATTCGATGTTAAGATTAATATGTCTTGTATATATATATATATATATATATATATATTTGTACTATGTGTATGTATATGTATATGTATATATATGTATATATATTCACAAGTTTTAACAAAGTCATTCATGTACTTCTAAGACAACAAGATTCATTCAAAAGAATTTAATATATAATTTTTATCTTTTATTTCTATATTATAAACACCCATTAATATTTTCACACATCATTGAATATAATACATAGAAAAGCTCATGTTGTGCATTTCTAAATTTTCTTAATAAGGTTTTTGATTTATAGATAAAGTCCTTTAATATACATGGACCCAGTTATTTTTGAAAACAAAAAATCAAAAGGAAAAAAAGAAAATCTTAATTTCATATCACAACCAAGTAATCCAATATACCTCTTAAGTAAAATTAACTTCAAATCGAATATAACTTCTCATTTATTTCAATCTGAGGCACATTTCTACAATGTGCAATATTGAAACAATACTGCATCTGAGTTTGTCATCAAAGATAAGTTCAAAAAATATATTTAAAAATGAGACCTTTCAAAAAGTATGTGCCATGTAATAAGAATAGTCCCCAAACCAATCAATTAAATGCAAACATACATATATAAAAATAACTTTTATATATATATATATATATATTAGTGGAAACCTATGTTATTGGCCATGAAAAAGGTGTGAAAGTTTAATTTGTAGTTGCTAAGTAAAAAATTGACTACTTTTAAAAAAATATTTACTAAAGAAAAAAAGAAAAGAAAAGAAAAGTAAAAAAATATATGAATAACAATAGAACCATTTATATTTCTTCATTGTAATTTGCAAACATATTTTTTATTTATTACAAAAATAAAATTGCTAAGTTAGAAGAACTTATGGATAAACTAAATTTTTAGTGGTATTTTCAAAATATAGGATCTTGATCATATTCAAAGAAGTGCATTGTGAAAGGATAACATACAACTTTCCATATGTAAATACCAAGGTATCAAGATCTATTCCTACATTCTTTAATTATTGTCTTTGAGATTTATGAACAGTCATTGTAAATCCTTCTTTTAATGGAAACTAATTTTATTACAACTTGAATGGAATCTCTTCAAATCATGGACATAATAGACTTAAACTACTTAAATACTTGATTAAATAATAATTTCTATTATCGACACTATCTTCCATAATTGCTATATTTGTAGTAAAATAAATACGTGAAATTCTAAGAAATCTTTCTATTGCATACTTGTTTAAATCATTAATATCATAATTTCTTACAAATGAAATTGACTTGTTGGTGAAATATTCATCTCTAAGTATTCCATCTTTATCCAAGCTTAAATAGACAACTTGAATCAAATCATTTGATGTTGGACCTACTTTCTTACGTTCTAGACAAATCACCGTACTTTTCAATGTATCTACTATTATTGATCCATTTCCAATCTATAAATAGAAATAATTGGTAGATAAATTATACAAAACCATTGTATCATAAAGAAACTTTTAAAAAAAATAGTCTTATATAATACATACTTTTAAGAGCTCTTCAATAAATAATTAAATCTCATCAAATACACCTTTTAGATGCATATTTTTGGCCAACTTCTACACTTGAATGTTAGACCAAATCTTTGATCCTTACAAAGAAGTATCAATAATCTCTTTTCTTGAGCCTTTAATAATAATAGAAAGAATTTGGCAAAAATCTCTACTAAAGACTACAAAATTTTTGCCAAATAACTTGATAGTGTCATTTATATCTTGGAGAGTTCTATTGATTTTCTCAACACAATGGTGATGTTGCATTAGTATTTCATCTCAAATAATAAGAACTTTCTTTTTTAATATATCTATATATGGTACATTCTTTGCAAAACAAATCTTTATGAAGATTGAGTGGAATTTTAAACATAAAGTGTATAGTCCATCTACCATTTAAAAATTGTGCAATAATTTCAAAAGGAGCAACACACAAAAAAAAAATCCCATTAAATTAAAATTTTATTGCTATTGTATTATGCACAAATATTTTCCTACTTCCTCTCTAGTCCTTCCAAAAAATATAGCTTTTTAAGATTGTTATTCATTGAAATAAAAATATTATAGAATAGATATTAATTCGTTTTTGAAAGATATTAGTAAAATATATTAATAGTCCATATAATAGGAAATTCAGGAGGATGGATGAGTGATTTAGTTATTAAAAGCGGTTAATTACAGAATTATGGTTAGAATCTAGAGAATCAGGAGAAAGTATATAAGAGTTGTAGAAATTAATTAAGGTGCCAGACTGTGAGAGCCGAGGGCCATCGCTGTGATAGTGAGAGTCGGGATAAGCTTGGTGCTACCTCTTTTCTTTTGTTTGTTATTTTCTTTGAATAAGAGGATTGAAAGTTTCTGAATATTGTGAAGTGAATTATGGAATGGAAATGTGATTGGTATTATTTGAGAAGAAGAAAGATTGAATGCTGAAATCTGATTGTAGTTCAACAAAGAGAATGAGTCTGTGTTTGTGTGAAACACTATAATGTGAATGGCACTTCTGTGTGAAGAATTCCAGTGATTGGAACGAGGATAATTGTGTGATGAAAGCTGTGAGGGCGCAATATTACAGTTGGAGATTATGAGGGTGAATATATTAGTAGAAATAGCAGTTATTGGTATGACTAAATTGCTGTAAGGAAGAGACTGATAAGGTGAAGGAAGAGATTATAGTTTCCTTGTGTGTTCAGGTGTTGGAAATAGAGATGATACATTCACGAGATAATTGATTGTTTGACCCTAACGTGAACGCTTAAGCAACTAATCATTTCCTGTGTTCGAATCCCCCTATACGGGTTTATTCTTGGAGGTTTCTTTCGGAATAAGTAAAACGAGCAATCACAAATATTCAAACATATGATAAGTTGTTCATCATTCAACTTAACATATGCTCTACTATTTGTTTTAGCTTGTCACAATTTCATATTATATGTTCAATAAAAATTTGAATTGTAGGATTTTTATTTTAATTTTTTCCTCACAATAGCATCATCAAAAAATCTGCCACTATTTTGCTTGATTCTTAAAGAATTTCATTAAGAAAAAATAGTCCATAATATAATATTTTTCTTTTTTTTGGCCTTTCAATTTCATAATTTTGAATCAATTGGTAATCCACATCATTACAAAAACTTTCTTTAAACTTATTTCATAGCTCTTTTGAATATGTAGGTGAATATTAAAGAAAAATAATAGCAAATAATGCTCTTAAATACTTTCCTATTTTCATTAGGGAGGCTTCTTCTAAACATTGATTTTATTCTTTGTCATCCTCTAATAGTTCCATTTTTAAGCATGTATTTATAAAATTTGGTTACAACATTCTATTTATAATATGCAATCTTGAAATGAATGTGGTCTACATGCCACCATTAGAAGCAATCAAGGATAGAATCTTTCTCATGTATTAGAATCAGCAAAATATAATCTTTTAATTCCAAATCCATGTTGTCTTATTGTCCACTTCTTTGAGGTCTTATTCCACACAAAATGTTGTAGAAACTCTTGATACTTCTATTGCTGAATAATCTCTATAGATTCATACATTTCAAAAAATATTGTCAAAACTATTTTTTTTTGCTGCTTTTTACAAGCTATGATTCAATTGAACCACATTGTGAACTCTCATTTATGCTCCAAAATTTTATTTTTAAATTTTTTCTTATTTTATGATAATTGAGCATGTTAGATTAGAATTTATATAAATAGAATCTAATTTTATTAAATTTTTAGGATTGTAACCTTTGATGGTATAAATCCTAGCCTGATTCCTTGAGCTAGATTAATTAAGATCAAAATCATAAGGATTAAAAAATTAGAATAGTAATTTGATTAATTTTAATAATTTAGAGATTATTAATCATTGCTATAAGAGTTGATTGTGAGCCAATGAATTCACCTACAATCATCTCATATGATTTAGAATGAATTAGAATTAGAACTTCCTAAAAGATTTAGTAAAGTTTAGTAATGACGGTTTTGAAGCTTCTTCTTTAACTTCAACAAATCCAAGCAGCAAAGTAGTTTTTTTCAATTAATGGAGGCTTTCAAATGTGATGGCGGCATTGGATTCACTTCATGGTATAAAGAAAACAAGAACATCACCCTCTCTTTCAAAATACAAGTGGAGCAATGAAATTCTCATTTTGAAGAATTTTACAAAAAAATTGCTAAGATCCTTGTAAGTAAAATCTTCCATGAAAATTATAATTTAGCATGGATCAAGGCATGTGAGTAATCAATCTTAGCTTAAAAAGGTGTTTTGAACACAATGGTGAAGTTAGATTTACCAAAAAAATGCTTTCTTGACCACTTACAAGAGCCATCAGCCTTAGTAATGAGATTGGCTCTTGGATGAATGCAGGCCATAGATCTAGATTAGGGATCTTAGAAATCAAGGGTAGAGATGCAACCACCCTTCTATAAGCCTCCACTTAATTTTATAATAGAGGATTGGTTTTCCAAGCCCTCTCTCTCTCCTCTTTTGGGTGAAGGGTGAAGCCATACCAAAATTTGGTCAAAATCCTAATCTTAATTTTATTTAGATCTTACATCTCATTGTGAGCCTTGTGATTGTATGTGTATGGATTTTGAATTGTGAAGGATGGT